AGACGAGGTTTCACCATGTTGGCCAGGCTGGTCTTGACCTCCTGACCTCAGGTGATCCACCTGCCTCGGCCTCCCAAAGTGCTAGGATTACAGGTGTAAGTCACCGTGCCCAGCCTCTCAAAACGTTGGAAAATTACCACATGATCCAGCAATCCCATTTCTGGGTATACGACCAAAAGAAATGAAAGCAGGGACTTGAACAGATTATTTGTACACCCATGTTCATAACAGCATTATTCACAATAGCATACATAGCTACCCAAGGGTCCAGCAACAGATGAATAAACAAAATGTAGTCTGTACAGTATATACTTACATGGAATATTGTTGAGTCTTGAAAAGAAATTCTAACGTGCTACAATAAGTGAAGCTTGAAGAAATCATGCTAAGTGAAATAAGCCAGTAACCAAAGGACAAGTACTGTATGATTCCATTAAATGAAGTACCTAGAAGAGTCCAATTAACAGAAAAAGGAAGTAGATGGTGGTTACCAGGGACTGGGGGAGAGGGGAGAATGGAGAATTATTATTTAATGGGTATAGGTTTCAATTTTGAAGGTGAAAATAGTTCTAAGAGATGGATGGTGGTGATGACTGCACAACAACGTGACTGTACCTAAGTGCCACTGAACTATATGCTTACAAATGGCTAATATGATAGATATGTATATTTTACCAGAATAAACAAGAAAAAAAACCAGATGCATATATATGGTTGCCTGATGGAAGGTGATAGTGGAGAAAGGATGGTCTGTTCAATAAATGGTGCCAGGATACCCTTACGGGGCAAAAAATTTTCATCCCTATCTCACACCACACACAAACATCAATTCCAGATGAATTGCAAATATAAATGTGAAAGCTGAAACAATAATGCTTTTAGAAGAAAACATAGAACAGCTTTATAACCTTGGGGTGGGCAAGATACCTTAAATAGGGTGCAAAAAATTCTACCGTAAAAGAAGAAAATTAAAAGTCAGAATATATTAAAATTAAAAACTTACGTTAATCAAAACATACCAACATGAGTGAAAAAACAACCACAGAATTAGAGAAGGTATTTCTGATACCCCAATCTGGAAAATGACTCATATCCAGACTATAAAAAGAACTCTATAAATCAATATGAAGACAGACAACTCAATGGAAAAATAAGCAAAAGACCGAACACAGCATGTATCCATATGGTCAAATAACACATGAAAAGGTGGTCAATTTCATTTGTCACCGGGGAAATACAAATTAAAACTACCATGAGATATTGCTACAAACCACCGGATTTAAAAGAAAAAACTATTAGAATGTGGAACAACTAGAATTCTCATACATGCTGAGAACTTTGGTGACTTTGGAAGGTGGGAGTATCCACCATAAGACATATACTACAATACAGAGCAGCACATTTTATAACAGCCTCCAAATGGAAATTACTCAAATGTCCATCCAATGTAAAATGGATAGATTGCAGAATATTCATCCAATGGATGACTATATAGCAATGTAAAGAAACAACCTATAATAATTCTATTTGTTTAAAGACCAGATTATGAACTTCAACAATCTATAATAATGCTAATCTACATCAATGAATCTCACAAAGTAATATAGTACCAAGATAGGAAGCCAGTTACGAAAGAGAAAACATGCAGTTACCCTTTGGTTGTAGGAGGGGTGGTGATGCAGGTAGTAACTGAAAGATGGTCCAAGTGCAGCTTCTATGGTGTGATATAGTGGATGTGAAAACCATTGGTACTGGTAAGCTTCTAGGCCAGGCGCGGTGGCTCAAGCCTGTAATCCCAGCACTTTGGGAGGCCGAGACGGGCGGATCACGAGGTCAGGAGATCGAGACCATCCTGGGTAACACAGTGAAACCCCGTCTCTACTAAAAATACAAAAACTTAGCCGGGCGAGGTGGCAGGCGCCTGTAGTCCCAGCTACTCGGGAGGCTGAGGCAGGAGAATGGCGTGAACCCGGGAGGCGGAGCTTGCAGTGAGCTGAGATCCCGCCACTGCACTCCAGCCTGGGTGACAGAGCGAGACTCCGTCTCAAAAAAAAAAAAAAAAAGAAAACCATTGGTACTGGTAAGCTTCTTAAAAATCCAGATAGATGAATAAAAATTATATGTGAAGATTTTTTGGCAACTGTTTTAGGTTCAGCCATCTAGGAGGTTATGAAGGGAATGGAATTATAGCAGGGGGGATTATGCGTTAAAAATGACACACTATGTGTAAGATACTGTGCTTGACGAAGAGCAGTCATTCAACATATATATACGAAGAATTTTTTTTTTTTTTTTTTTAGACAGAGTCTCACTCTGTCGCCAGGCTGGAGTGCAGTGGCGCAATCTCAGCTCACTGCAACCTCCGCCTCCCGGGTTCAAGTCATTCTCCTGCCTCAGCCTCCAGAGTAGTTGGGACTACAAGTATGCGCCACCATGCCTGGCTAATTTTTGTATTTTTAGTAGAGACGGGGTTTCACCATGTTGGCCGGAATCGTCTTGATCTCTCACCCCGAGATCCACCGGCCTTGGCCTCCCAAAGTGCTGGGATTACAGGTGTGAGCCACCGCGCCTGGCCCCAGAATCTTTTATGTGCCAGGCAGATTGTAATGCAACTCCTTCAAGTAGAGGGCAATACACATATTACACATGCACGGCGTTAAGTGCTGGGGGAAGCGGAGAACTAACACATAAAAGAAACAGAAGAGAGCAGACAAAGAAAGACGTACTTGACATAAAAGCTGGTAGAATGATGGAAGCAACCATAACAGAATTATCTATGCAGGAGTTGGTGGTTGCTTATCTGCAAATCCTGCCTTGGTTTAAAATCAGGGAATATGGGCCGGGTGTGGCAGCTCGCGCCTGTAATCCCAGCACTTTGGGAAGCTGGGGTGGGCGGATCGCCTGAGGTCGGGAGTTGGAGACCAGCCTGGCCAACATGGGGAAACCCCCTCTCTACTACAAATACAAAATTAGTTGGGCGCAGTGGCGTGCGCCTGTAATCCCAGGTACTCAGGAGGTTGAGGCAGAAGAATTGCTTAAACCCGGGAAGTGGAGGTTGCAGTGAGATGGGATTGTGCCATTGCACTCCAGCCTGGGCGACAGAGTGAGCCTCCGTCTCCAAAAAAAAAAAAAAAAAAAAAAAAAAAAAAAAAAAAATCAGGGAATGTGGTGAACCAGCAACAACATACACATAGGAACCCAACTAGCTACATTGGTTAACCACAGCTTTATTCAACCTTGGTCGAATGGAACTTTTCTTGCTAAAATAAAATCACTATTTATTTATTTATTTATTTATTTATTTATTTATTTATTTTGAGACAGAGTCTCACTGAGTTGCCCAGGCTGGAGTGCAATGGCGCGATCTCAGCTCATTGCAACCTCTGCCTCCAGGTTCAAGCGATTCTCCTGCCTCAGCCTCCTGAGTAGCTGGGATTATAGGTGCATGCCACCACGCCCAGCTATTTCTAGTAGAGATGGGGTTTCACCATGTTGGCCAGGCTGGTCTCGAATTCCTAACCTCATGATCCTCCCACCTCAGCCTCCCAAAGCGCTGGATCACAGGTGTGAGCCACTGCGCCTGGCCTTATTTCATTTTTTTTTAAAGCTATCTCCTACAGGAAGGAACACATAATTTTTTATTTTTACTTTTTTTTTTTTTTTTGGAGACTCTCGTTCAGTCGCCCAGGCTGGAGTGCAGTGGCGCTCTTGGCTCACTGCAACCTCCGCCTCCTGGGTTCAAGCGATTCTCCTGCCTCAGCCTCCCGAGTAGCTGGGATTACAGGCGCCTGCCACCACGTCTGGCTGATTTTTGTACTTTTAGTAGAGATGGGGTTTCACCACGTTGGCCAGTCTGGTCTCGAACTCCTGAGTTCAAGTGATCCGCCCGCCTTGGCCTCCCAAAGTGCTGAGATTACAGGCTTGTGCCACCTCGCCCGGCTGGAAAGCATAATTTTCAAAATGGTTATAACAGAAATTAGATTGGAAAGGGGCCTGTAGTAGAAACATGACCTCCGGGTAGACCAGGAAGAAAAATTAGATTCAGAAATGGCAGGGCTACTCAGCTTTACTCTTCTCCAACTGGGTTGTCGGTGCTAGTCCACAAATGTGAATAAACATTAAAGCAGATAGGTATGCATGGCGGAATCTGAGAAGCATTCGTTTCGTATATACAAAGTGCCTGTTGCGTGTTCAGGTAGAAGACCATAGTGCAATGGTGGGGACAGATTATGTCGACAAATTATTCAAATATAGTGTACCAAATATGCAATGTAATTAGGAAAAAACCCGAGGGCAAAAAGAAAGGCGTGACAATGCTTTGGGGAATCTGGAAAGGTTTTATTGGTATGACATTTAAGTTGGGCCTTGAAGGATAGGGAGATGTTTGTCAGTTATGTTTAGAAATGTAACCAGAGGAAGCCCAGAAGCCTAGAGCGTTAAGGAACTGCGCAGCAACTCAGGCTGGATTGAGTACTGGGCTGATGTGTCAGATGCAATAACAGAATGAGAGGCAAGGAAAGCAGGTCGGGGGCTGGAGAGAACAGGATCTGCAAGGTTCTTGTAAATCAGAAGGCAATATGGCACAGAGGTTAGGAGAAACGCTTCCTTCTAAGTCGCGCTCCATCACTTGCTAGCAGTATGATCTACGCTGGCATGGGCTTGGGCGTACCCATTTGCAACATGGGAAAATAGTCTTTTCCTTATACGGCTTAAATGACTGAATGGGTATCAGTCAGTTAGGGCAGCGTGCAGCTCTTATTAAGCGCTAAATGAGAATGTATTATCATCACGAAGCCAAATCACGCAAAAGCTCGGTTTCTAGGAGGGTCCCCCAGCCGCCTCCCCACTGCTACCGTTAGGGAAAAAAAGTTCTCTCGGGTCGGGCCGCGCCCACTCCCCATTCCTCAGCCCTCCTAGGCCTCCGACTTTCTTCAGCGAGCAGGGCCGGCCCAGGGAGGGGGTAGATGGGCCTGGTGGGCAGCGGAGACGCAGCCGCTTACCAGGGCTCGGGTCCCGCTCTTCGTCCTCCGCTGTTCCGCGGGCCTTGAAGCCGGGCGGCAGGGCCGGTCCGATTAGGTCTCTTGCCATCCGCGGTGGCTGACACTGGTCACAGATACGAGTCTATCCACGAACGTGAAAACTACCCAAATGGAATCCCGCGATCAGCAGCAAAGAATGGAAGGTTTCCCGACGCCGACCAATGACGTAAGGCCTGTGGTTGGCTGAGCGGCGTAGTTCACCGTAAAGGAAGTGACGCCTAATGCTTGCTCCACAGTCGCGTGCTAGACTCCGGACCTTGCAGGTGGTATGGCTGAGCCGGCTAGTGATTTCGTGACTCCAACCGGGTGGCGTGCGTCTCCCGAGCTGACTCCCACGTTAGGGCCGCTGAGCGACACTGCCCCGCCACGGGACAGCTGGGTGTTCTGGGCAATGCTGCCGCCGCCGCCACCACCGCTTACGTCCTCGCTTCCCGCAGCCGGGTCAAAGCCTTCCTCTGAGTCGCAGCCCCCCATGGAGGCCCAGTCTCTTCCTGGGGCGCCGCCCCCCTTCGACGCCCAGATTCTTCCCGGGGCGCAACCCCCTTTCGACGCCCAGTCCCCTCTTGATTCTCAACCTCAACCCAACGGCCAACCTTGGAATTTCCACGCTTCGACATCATGGTATTGGAGACAGTCTTCTGATAGGTTTCCTCGGCATCAGAAGTCCTTCAACCCTCCAGGTAGGCTATTTTTCCACGTGGGTCAACCCCTTTACCTTTTTTCCCCGTTCTTTCCTCTCCCGTTTCTCCGTTTCCTCACTCCACTCTGCCTTGCCTCTGCACTCTTGGAGTCTGGTCATTAGTATCTCAAAATATATCTGATTGGAATGTTTTCCTGTTGCCTGTTAATTCCATTTAGCAGTTGTTTATTGAATTCCAACTATGTACCAGAATTTAGGTATATAGCAGTGAGCAGAACATACAAAAAATATTACGGAGCTTAATATTAATATCTCTCTTGTGTAGGAAGACAGACAATAAAATAAAATATTGTGCATTAGAAGGTTAAGAGTGCAGTGGAGAGAGATAAAACAAAGAAGAATGGTAAGTAGTGCAGGGTTTTCTTTTTTTTTTTTTTTTTCTTTTCTTTTTTGGAGACAGAGCGCCTCTGTCGCCCGGGGTGGAGTGAAGAGTAGCGCGATCTACTTCACTCCAGCCTATGCAATCTGCAGAGAGGCTCACTGCAACCTCTGCCGGGTTCAAGCAATTCTCGTGCGTCAAACTCCCGAGTAGCTGGGACTACAGGCCCGCGCCACCACGCCTGGCTAATTTTTTGTATTTTTAGTAGAGATGGGGTTGCGCCGTGTTGGCCAGGCCTGTCTCGAACTCCTGAGCTCAGGCATCCGCCCGTTTCGGCCTCCCAGAGTGTTGGGATTACAGGCGTGAGCCACCGTGCCCGGCCGGGTAGTGCAGTTTTAAATATCATTGTTAGTCATAAGAAAGGTGACATATGAGCAAAGACTTCAGGGAGGTGAGGGATCACAGCCATGCATACGTCTGGGAGAATAGGGGTATAGGCAGAAGGAACTGCAAGTGCAAAGGCCTTAAGGCTTAGAAGCTATACATCAAAATGGGAACCAGCGTGGCTACAGAGGACTGAGTCTGGAGTATAATTGTAGAAGATGGGGGAAGAGGGTAAGACCTGGTATATCTTTGTAGATCGTGGGACTTTGACTTTTACTGTTGTGAGGTGGGTAGTACAGGGGATTGACATGATCTGATTTACTTAAGAGGATTAATGTGTCTGTTGGTGGGAACTGACTGAAAGGGAAACCGGTTAGGAAGCTATTGTAATTACTTGTCTAAATGAGAGACACTGGAGACTTGGACCAAGGTGAAGCCCAAAGGATGGTGAGAAGTAGTTGGATTCTAGATCTAGGGATACCTTGGAGCTCTTGTGGGTTCAATTACAGACCACTGCAGTAAAGCAAGTCACACAATTTTTTTTTTTTTTTGGTTTTCCAGTGCATGTAAAAGTTATGTTTTCCTGCAGATCATATGGGGCAAAAAAGTTATTTTTACATTATACCACAGTCTATTAAGTGTGCAATACCATTATGTCTCAAAAAACAACTTACATACCTTGATTAAAAAATACTTTAGGCTGAGCAGGGTAACTCACACCTATAATCTCGGCACTTTATTTATTTCTGTTTTTAAATTTGTTGAGACAGAGTCTCTGTTGCTCAGGCTGGAGTGCAATGGCGCGATCTTGGCTCACTGCAACCTCCACCTCCAAGGTTCAAGTGATTCTCCTGCCTCAGCCTCCCGAGTAGCTGTTATTACAGGTGTCCACCACCAAGCCTGGCTAATTTTTGTATTTTTAGTAGAGACAAAGTTTCACCATGTTGGCCAGGCTGATCTCAAACTCCTGACCTCAAGCAATCCACCCTCCTTGGCCTCTGAAAGTGCTGGGATTACAAGCATGAGCCACTGCACCTAGCCTAATCTCAGCACTTTGAGAGGCAGAGACAAGAGGATTGCTTGAGCCCAGGAGTTTGAGACCTGCCTGGGCAACAAAGTGAGACCCCCGTCTCTACAAAAAAAATAAAATTAACCAGGCATAGTGGCATGCCTGTGGTCCCAGGTGCATGGGAGGCTGAGGCAGGAGGATTCCTTGAGCCCAGGAAGTCGAGGCTACTTTATCAACTGAGTTTGTATAATATTATAAATCCTTTGTTGTCATTTCAACAGTGTTCACCAGGAGTAGATTCCTCTCAAAAAAGCACTTTCTTTCCTCATCCATAAGAAGCCACTCCTCATCCATTAAAGTTTTACCACGAGATTGCAGCAAATCAGTCACATCTTGTGGCTTTACTTTTTTTTTTTTTTTTTTGAGACAGTCTCGTTCTGTCGCCCAGGCTGGAGTGCAGTGGCGAGATCTTGGCTCACTGCAAGCTCCGCCTCCTGGGTTCATGTCATTCTCCTGCCTCAGCCTCCCAAGTCGCTGGGACTACAGGCGCTGGCCCCCATGCCTGGCTAATTTTTTGTATTTTTATTGGAGGTGGGGTTTCACTGTGTTAGCCAGGATGGTCTCAATCGCCTGACCTTGTGATCCACCCGCCTAGGCCTCCCAGAGTGTTGGGATTATAGGCGTGAGCCACTGTGCCCGGCCCCTCCACTTCTAATTCTAGTTCTCTTGCTGTTTCTACTGCATCTGAAGTGACTTCCTCCACTGAAGTCTTGAACTCCTCAAAATCATCTATGAGGGTTGGAATTTCTTCTTTCAAACTCCTGTTAATGTTGATCTTTTGACCTCCTTCCATAAATCATGAATGTTCTTAATGGTGTCTTGAATAGTGAATCGAAACCTTTCTAGGTTTTTAATCTACTTTGCTCAGATCCATTGGAGGAATCACTATCTATGTATCACTATGAATTTCTTTCAAGAACTTTTCAGCCAGGCACAGTGGCTCACAACTGTGATCCTAGCACTTCAGGAGGCCAGAACAGGAGGATCCCTTGAGCCCAGGAGGTTGAGGTTGCAATGAGCTTTGACTGCACCTTTACATTCCAGCCTGGCTAATAGAGTGAGACCCTTTCTCAGTAGTTGCATTCACAACTTGGCTAGCTGTTTGGCACAAGAGGCCTGGCTTTTGGCTTGTATCAGCTTTCAACATGTCTTCCTCACTAAGCTTAATCATTTCTGGCTTTTGATTTAAAATGAGAGACATGCGATTTCCTTTTGCTTGAACACTTAGAGGCCATGATGGGGTTATTAATTGGCCTACTTTTGAATATTGTGTCTCAGAGGATAGGGAGTCCTGAGGAGAGGGAGAGGAGAAGCACCGGTTGGTGGAGCAGTTAGAACATACACAGCATTTATAAAGTTCACCATCTTATATGGCCATGATTCATGGTGTCTCAAAACAATTAGAGTAGTAGCATCAAAGTATAACAGATGTAATAAAAATGACAAAGTTTGAAATATTTCGAGAATCATCAAAATGTGACACAGAGACAGCACATTGTTGGAAAAATGGTGCCGATAGACCTGCTTGATGTAGGGTTGCCACAGACCCTTAGCTTGCAAAATCTCAGTAAAATGAAGTGCAGTGAAACAAGGTATGCTTTTATACCTTAAAAGTGCGGACAGCATGATTTACTGAAAGATAGGGTATATGGGATGCAAGATAAAGAGGAGAGAAGGATAATTTAAAGCTTTTTGCCAAGTAATTGGAAGGGTGGAGTTGCTACTAACTGAGATAGGTAAGAATGTAGATGGAGCAGATTTGGAAGGAAGTCCAGGAATTGAAATTGGCATATATTTGTGTCAGGTAGAGATTCTGAATAGGCTTTTAGCTATTAGTCTGTACTTTCAGGGGAGATTTGTGGCTGGAGCTATAAATTTGGGTGTTGACACCATATAGATCATATTTCAAGCTACAAGATTGTTCACTTAAAACCTTTCTCCAACTTTGCATAAAATTCAATTCTGCGTTAAACTGAATCCAAACAATTAGTGTTTTATTTATTATTTTATTTTATTTATTTATTTTTTTAAATAGAGTCTCTCTCTGTCACCCAGGCTGGACCAGTGGCAGCATCTCAGCTCACTGCAACCTCCACCTCCTGGGTTCAAGGGATCCTTCTGCCTCAGCCTCCTGAGTAGCTGGGACTACAGGCACGCACTACCACGCCTGGCTAATTTTTGTATTTTTAGTAGAGACTGGGTTTCACCATATTGGCCAGGCTGGTCTCGAGCTGCTGACTGCAAGTGATCTGCCCGCCTTGGCCTCCCAAAGCACTGGGAATACAGGAATGAGCCACCCCGCCTGGCCCAGACAGTTAGTGTTTATTGTATGGCAGATGCTGGAAATATGGACTTGGCTAAGTCAGATGAGATATGTTCATAAGTATGAACCAAAATACAATGTGACTGATGATAGAGGCATATAATAGCTGATTTCAGAATGTAGAGGAAATTGGGAAAAGCTTTTGGAAGAAGTGTTTTAGGAGATGTATAGAATTTGGGAAGAGATGTTTCTTAGGTAGAGAAGGAGGTGTCAATACAAGGCAAGTTCTGGAGATTGCAGGGTTCTGGTGTGACTGAAGCAGAGTATGTAAAAGGTATGGGGGAAGAGTAGGGTAAGAAAGTAAATTAGAATCTCATGGAAGGTCTCTAGGAAGCTGTCTTAGTCCCTATTGTGCTACCATGACGGAGTATGACCTGTTGGGTAATATATAATGAACAGAAATTTATTTGGCTGATAGTTTTGGAGGTTAAGTCCAAGATCAAGTGGCTCTTGAGGACCTTGCTGCATTGTAACATCAAGGAAGGCATCACATGATGAGAGAGAATGAGAGAAGGTCAAACTCATCCTTTATTATTATTACTTTTTGAGACAGGGTCTTGTTCTGTCGCCCAGGCTGGAGTGCAGTGGCACATATACAGTTCACTGCAGCCTCGACCTGCTGGGCTCAAGTGTTTCTCCCATCTCAGCCTCACAAGTAGCTGGGACTACAGGCACACACCACCAAACCTGGCTAATTTTTGTATTTTTTGTAGAGACAGAGTCTCGCCAGGCTACTCAGGTTGATCTCAAACTCCTGGGCTCAAGTGATCCGCCCACCTTGGCCTCCCAAAGTGTTGGAATTATAAGCGTGAGCCATCATGCCAGCCCCTCCCCCCACTTTTTTTTTTTTTTTTTTTAAGAGACAAGGGGCCGGGTGCAGTGGCTCACGCCTGTAATCCCAGCACTTTGGGAAGCCAAGACACAAGGTCAGGAGTTCGAGACCAGTGTGGCCAACATGGTGAAACCCTGTCTCTACTAAAAAATACAATAATTACCCAGGCGTGGTGGCACATGCCTGCAATCCCAGCTACTCGGGAGGCTGAGGCAGGAGAATCGCTTGAACCTGGGAAGCGGAGGTTGCAGTGAGCCAAGATTGTGCCACCGCACTCTAGGCTGGGCAACAAGAGCAAAACTCCATCTCCCCCCGCCGACCAAAAAAATGAATAAATAAATAAGAGACAGGGTCAGCTGGGCGTGGTGGCTTATGCCTGTAGTCCCAGGACTTTGGGAGGCTGAGGCAGGCAGATCGGTTGAGGCCAGGAGTGTGAGATCAGCCTGGGCAATGTAGTGAGACCCCATCTCTATAAAAAGAATAATTTTTTTTTTTTTTTTTTTTTTTTTTTGAGACGGAGTCTCGCTCTGTCACCCAGGCTGGAGTGCAGTGGCCGGATCTCAGCTCACTGCAAGCTCCGCCTCCCAGGTTTACGCCATTCTCCTGCCTCAGCCTCCCGAGTAGCTGGGACTACAGGCGCCTGCCACCTTGCCCGGCTAAGTTTTTGTATTTTTAGTAGAGACGGGGTTTCACTGTGTTAGCCAGGATGGTCTTGACCTCCTGACCTCGTGATCCGCCCGTCTCGGCCTCCCAAAGTGCTGGGATTACAGGCTTGAGCCACCGCGCCCGGCCTATAAAAAGAATAATTTTTAAAAAAGAGACAGAAACAAGGTCTTGTGCTGTTGCCCAGGCTGGAGTGTAGTGGCATGATCATGGCTTACTGCAGCCTCAAAGTCCTGAGCTCAAGTGATCCTCCCACCTCAGCCTCCACTGCAGCTAGGACTACAGGTGCGTGCCATCATGCCAAGCTAATTTTTAAATTTTTTTGTAGAAATGGGGTCATGTGAGGTTACCTAGGCTGGTCCTGAAGTCCTGGCCTTGTGCAATCCTCCTGCCTCAGCTTCCCAAAGTGCTAGGATTATAGGCATGAGCCACCATGCCTGGCCCATATGCAGATTTTTGAGTCAAGTTGTGACAGGATTGGAGAATTTTTTTTTTTTTTTTTGTGTGTGTGTCAGTATGCAAGGTTTGTTGGAAGAGGGGGCTTAGGAACTGGAAGATAATCTACGAGTAATCTGGTGGAAGATCAGAATTTCTGACTTGGGGCATGGTAATAAGAATAGAAAAGTACAGTGGGATTTGAGAGGAGATATATTTCACAAGGTTCTGTTTTCCTGATGTGAAATTGATGCTGAAGGAGCTGTGTTGGGGATTTTACTGGTTACATTTCTGATATTTGAAATAACCGAAGGAATTTCATCAGGTTAGGTTGTCCATTTCTGAACTTTGACACCTAAAGCATCTGTGGACATATCACACCAGTCTTTGTTTGAAAAATAGTCATTTGGTAGACTAATCTTAATCTTTGTTATTTTGTTTGAACTACTATTCCTCCTAGAAGGGTAGTTTAGCAGTGTTTTTACTGAAATATTTGTAACATACTATAGTAGATAAAATTTAATTATAATTTAAATAATTATATTGTTTCAAACGTTTATGGATCTCTTTTTTTTTTAGTTAAACATTCTTATTATCCACGAAAGTATGATGCAAAATTCACAGACTTCAGCTTACCTCCCAGTAAAAAACAGAAAAAAAAGGTATTTGAAAGATGTTCTTGAATTTGACCCCTTGGTCCCTATGTTACTGTTTTATATCTTGCATTTCTGTCATAACTGTCTTCAGTGTTTTGCTTCCATTATTGACACAGTGGAGCCTTGCTATAAAAAGGAATTTTATGGTTAAACATGAATATAGCAAATTATGATTCAAAAATAATATTTACCTAAATTTTTTTTTCTTTTCTGTGGTTTTAAAAATAGCTATATATTTGGTACTTTCATTTTATTTATTTATTTATTTTTTTGAGATGGAGTTTCACTCTGTCACCCAGGCTGGAGTGCAGTGGTACGATCTTGGCTCACTGCAACCTCCGCCTCCTGGGTTCATGCAATTCTCCTGCCTCAGCCTCCCAGAGTAGGTGGGACTGCAGGCGCACACCACTACACCTGGCTAATTTTTGTAGTTTTAGTAGAATTGGGGTTTCACTATGTTGGCCAGGCTGGTCTTGAACTCCTGACCTCAAGTGATCCACCTGCCTCTGCCTCCCAAAGGGCTGGGATTACAGGCATGAGCCAACAAGCCTGGCCATATAGTTGATATTTGAACAACGCAACAGTTAGGGGTGCAGTCAAAAGTTTGTGTATAACTTTTGACTCCTCTAAAACTTAACTACTGATGGCCTACTGTTGACTGGAAGTCTTACCAATAACATAAATAGTTGGTTAATATATAAATAGAATGGTGTCCACATATATTTTATACTTTCCTAACATACTTAACTATTTCTTTTTTTTCTTTTTTTTGATATTTCTAAGGCTATGTGGTTTATCTGTTTTTCCAAATTGTCACAAATCTCCAAAAAAATTTTTGCAATATATTTATTGAAAAAAATCCTTTTATAAGTGGACCCTTGCAGTTCAAACCTGTGTTGTTCAAGGGTCAGCGGTAGTTATTTTTTTCTAAAAGAGGAGCTGCTGTTTTTACTCTATTTTCAGGTCATTTCAACATATTCTGTACTGAGTCTTAATTAGATAACCAATTTGCAATCTGCTCATAATTTATATTAGCACTATTTGGATTTAAAAAGTTTAAAATTATGCCTGGAGTTTACTAATATATTTGTTAAAAACAAAATAAAAGAAAGAAACAGAATAATCTCTTCATTGGAAATATACTCACAAGTTTCTCCCACATGAAAGGGTTATTGGAAACATCAAAGTATGTATTACTAGAACAATAGTTATGTTTTTATTGTTGATTAGAGATTTTTCACCAAAAGCCTAATTCCTCTCTGTTTTTGTTTGCAGAAAAGAAAGGAACCAGTTTTTCACTTTTTTTGTGATACCTGTGATCGTGGTTTTAAAAATCAAGAAAAGTATGACAAACACATGTCTGAACATACAAAAGTAGGTTTTCTTAGTTGTCCTGAAACTGATGTAGCAAAGTGGCCTTCTTCTATATGTATATTTGGTAGAAATTCCAAGCTTGTTTTCCTTTAAAGTTTATAGTTTCCATAGAAATATAGTTTGATGACTTGACAGACGGGGGCAGTGACCCTGGGGTTTGAAAGTGGGGATCCCACTGCTTCAGGGAGGAGGTAAGGTGGTAGCAAAGAAGGGAGCTCTGGCAGCTTTTTGTATTTGTGTACCTCTACTGCTTGGGAAGAGGCTGTGGTCCCCTCCAGTTACCTTGTGCATCTTGATGAGTTCTTTCCCCTTTAAGTCTGCCCTTGAACCATACTGTGTAATGTGGCCGTGCCTGTCACCCTCAAAGGCTGGTCCACACCTTGTCAAGTACTTTCTAGAAAACTTTAACCAAAATGTTTTAAAGGTTAAAAAGGAAACCTTTGGTTTGGAAAGGTTCTTTTTCTGCTTTTGGGAATGCCCCTCAACTTTAGGAATCAACATTTCACAGGTTTACCGATGTATGCCTTCACTCAAGTGGAGAAGTAAATAAGATACATTATTGTGCCGTGTACTCTGAGAGTGTCATTCTTTTGCCTAAAGGCAGCCCTGTTTTGGAATCATTTTTGTTTTACTACTGACATAAGTATGCAGAGATAATACCATGTAGATGGGATAACTATGTAATACAGCCAGAATATGTCTGTGTATGTATAGTGGGGTAAATGTAACATGGAAACATTTATTAAATAGTGTTTTTTGTTTTTTTTTTTAACTCTTATAGTGCCCTGAAGTAGATTGCTCTTTTACTGCACACGAGAAGATTGTCCAGTTCCATTGGAGAAATGTAAGTTCTGTTTTTTTATCCTATTTTTAAATACATGCTCTTTTTATTTTATTGATCTGTTATCTTCACAACTGTTCATTTATATACCTAATAATAAGTAACATTCATGGAGTACTTTGTAAGGATTTGGACATCATTTATTCAAGTTTTTCCTCACAAACAACTGTGGTTGTTTACATTGGCCCCATTTAAAATATTTTAAAAAATGAATTGCCCAAGTCCTGAGAACTGATTCTTGGACCTCAGTTTCTTGACTCCAAATTGTATACTGCTTTACTACACCATGCTGCTACAGATTGTCACGTCTACTCGTATCTTTAGTGACCTCTCTAGGTTTTGGTTGGTAAGTCATTCATTTGGGTGTTTAATGTGGTTTGAAAGAATGGGTGACATATCTACTTTGTAATCAAAATTATGTTACCCCTTTTCCCTCTATTAATAGCACTAATTAAATACATGGTAGATTCTTCTTTCTTTAAGGAAAAAGTTATAGTAGATAGATACAACCTCCTTACTTAGTTTTAAAATTGTATCCAACATAAGTTTACTTGTAGAAACAAAGTCTCCAAATTAGTCAAAAGCATATGATAGGCCGGGCGCGGTGGCTCAAGCCTGTAATCCCAGCACTTTGGGAGGCCGAGACGGGCGGATCACGAGGTCAGGAGATCGAGACCATCCTGGCTAACACGGTGAAACCCCGTCTCTACTAAAAAATACAAAAAACTAGCCGGGCGCAGTGGCGGGCGCCTGTAGTCCCAACTACTCGGGAGGCTGAGGCAGGAGAATGGCGTGAACCCGGGAGGCGGAGCTTGCAGTGAGCTGAGATCCGGCCACTGCACTCCAGCCTGGGCGGCAGAGCGAGACTGCATCTCAAAAAAAAAAAAAAAAAAAAAAAAAAAAAAGCATATGATATTTCCTCCTGATGTTCAGCAGGCTTTTTCCCCCTAGATGCATGCTCCTGGCATGAAGAAGATCAAGTTAGACACTCCAGAGGAAATTGCACGGTGGAGGGAAGAAAGAAGGAAGTGAGTAGAGTTCAAAACTGGTGAAATAACTATTTTACTGTGGCAAGGCTTATTAATATAGTTAAATTCATTGAATTCCCTTAGAATGTTGGAACTAGGGAACAGGACCATAAGGCATATTATGTAAGACTATTATTGAATGTAGTTTTAGGAAGACCTAATAAGAACTCTTCATTTAAGTAGCGAATGTGTCATAATGGGACTGTATGTTGCTTTTTGAGGGGGGCTACTACATGTCACCTATTAGATGTTCAGTGGTTGAGGCAATAATGGGTGGATGCTGTTACCAAAAAGTGTATTATACAGAAGTGTATTATCACAGAACAGTACATCTGGTACATCACCACATATGTCAGTGGATTTAAACCAAAACCCTTAAGGTGAGCCAAGTACAAATGTAACCTGTTGCTCACAAGAGTTTGAAGTATCTTTCTTGATCTTTAAGGATAGTTCTTCTTGTTTTCATCCCAGGCTTACCTCTAAATAAGATATACAGGTGCTAAGGCTAAGATATACAGGTGCTTTTCCTTAACAATGAGAAGATCAGGAATTCATTCCTGTAATTAAAGAAATTTGAGCATCGCCATGTAACTTGTGGTTTTACACTTACTAAGGAAGAAAGTTTAGTTGATGTCTAGCTGTAATATACTTGAAATTCCACTAGGGCCCTGTTATACTGCCTTCTCAGAAAAGACTAGAACGCTTCTTCCTGAAGCGGAAGACTATGCAGAACTACTCTAATGATCAGTTGCACTTTTAAAGTCAACTGCTCTTTTCCTGGAATTAAAAAACAAAGAGAGCCTGGGATGAAAACAAGAAGAACTATCCTTAAAGGTCAAGAAAGATACTTCAAACTCTTGTGAACAGCAGGTTACGTTTGTACTTGGCTCACCTTAGTTTAAGGTTCAGTTTAAATACACTGACATGGGTGGTGATGTGCCAGATGTACTCTTCTGTGAAAAAGTTAGATGCTGCCCTTTACAGCTTTAGAGGTAATTGTGAGGGAGACCAGCAGAAGCATGAAGATTCAGAACTAACTGAGAATAAATATAATTCAATATACGTGTATCAGGTATTAATACTATGTGCAAAGGAAAGAGTTGGATGAGGGTGAAGGGACAATTAGAAATCAATTTTTTTTTTGAGACAGAGTCTCACTCTGTTACTCAGGCTGGAGTGCAGTGGCGCAATCTCGGCTCACTGCAACCTCCACCTCCTGAGTTCAAGTGATTCTCCTGCCTCAGCCTCCCAAGTAGCTGGGATTACAGGTGTGTGCCACCACACCTGACTAAGTTTTGTATTTTTAGTAGAGACAGGGTTTTGCCATGTTGGCCAGGCTGGTCTCAAACTTCTGACCTCAAGTGATCCACCTGTCTTGGCCTTCCAAAGTGCTGGGATTACAGGCGTGAGCCACCACGCCCAGCCGAGGAATTCAATTTTTAAACAAGTCGGGTCTAGCCAGTCAACAGGGACTTGGTGGACATAACGTAGCATTTCAAGAGCATCTGTGGCTAACAAATGAAGGAATCTAGGCCACCTGGAGTAGAGTATATTAGAATGCCTTTTTCCTTTGATCTCTTTGGCAAAATCTCATTTATCTTGTAGGCCTGTTTTAAAGGTTGCCTGATTTACCACTCTCTTCTTACTCTTCACTTCCTCTATGTCAGTGCTACCAGAGTGCCAGTCTATAACAAAAGAGCTTGTACCAGAATGTAAATCAGTATATTACTTCCTTTATTGATAAGAAAAAATGAAAAAATGTCAGCTGAACTAAATATCATGCTTAGTGACATAGTTGATTTCTACTCTGGTGTGTGTGGATTGGCTGGTTGCCAGTCCCTGAAATACACTACCCTAAAGCATTAGTTACTACCTCCTTTGCAAATACATAGCTTATTTATACAACCATAGTACATTTGTCACATTACATTATAGTTGGCCCTGCTCTTATACATCTTTGATTCTGCTGTGCTTTGCACAGTGCCTAGAATTTAGTATGTGAGAAATACATATTTGTTGACTGAAGTACTGTTAAATAGTGTAGAGTGGGAATACTTAACCGTGGCAGTGATAAGGGAGCCTTAGCCAATTGCAAGGTCAAACTTAGAAGTTGAAGGAGTTTGGACCATGCTGTGGTTTGAATGTGTTCCCCAAAAGTTCATTTGTTGGAAACTTGGTCCCCAGTGTGGCAGTGTTGAGAGGTGGGACCTTTGGGAGGTAATTGGATCATGAAGGTAGAACCCTCATAAATGGATTAATTCATTCATGGATTGGTGGATTAATGGATTAAAGGATTCATGAATTATCAAGGGAGTGGGCTTATTATCATCAGAGTGAGTCAATTATAAAGATCAGTTTGCCTGTCTCCTGTGCACCCCCTTGCCATGTGATGCCCTCTGCTGCCTTGGGACTCTACAGAGAGTCCCCACCCAGCCACCAAAACTGCAAGAAATAATTTTTTTTTTCTTTATAAATTATCCAATCTCACGTATTCAGTTATAGCAACATAAAATGGACTGAGACCATGAGGTAGTTTGACTTAGGAATTTTGAAGCACGGGATCTGAAGCTCCTTGCCTTCTGTAGGTAGCTTCTTTGCAGATACAAGTTTTTCTCCTCATGACATCACTCCCCAAGTAGCTGGGCTTTTTTTTTTTTTTTTTTTTTTTTGAGACGGAGTCTCGCTCTGTCGCCCAGGCTGGAGTGCAGTGGCCGGATCTCAGCTCACTGCAAGCTCCGCCTCCCGGGTTTGTTCTCCTTGTTTCTTTTCTATCTGTTGGTTGTTTCTTCTTCCTCCTCTTGTTCTTCCTCTTCTTTTTCTTCTTCCTCCTCCTTGTCCTCTTCCTCCTCTTCCTCCTCATCCTCTTCCTCCTCTTCCTCCTTGTCCTCTTCCTCCTCCTTCTCTTCCTCCTCCTCCTCTTCCTCTTCCTCCTCTTCCTCCTCCTCCTTCTCTTCCTCTTCTTCCACCTCCTCTTCCTCCTCCTCCTCTTCCTCCTCCTCCTCCTTTCTTCTCCTTTTCTTTCCTTCTTCTTTCATTTTTTGCATAGAGCAGTAATCAAACAAGAAGTTAACTCCACTTCCTTTCTGACATGTACATTATAAAGAGCTGCTGCTGAATGTATGAAAGATTGTATCCTGCTAGATGGGATGGAAATGGCCTAACTGCTAAGACACTAGGTTTTTTCCCATTGCTACTTAGCCTTGACTTTGATCAGTTAGAGGTTCATTCAACTCATTGGTGTCAGTCCCTTTTATAAATGTTTAATTCTCTTGAGGGGAATGGTAGCAGTTACTAGTCAGCACTGATTGTAAAACAACTCGAAAGTTATCTGACTAAACTTACATTTCTGAAGCTTTGAGTTTACTGAAGGGTATAGGAAAAGTCTGAAGTGACTTCTCGATTTGCCAACTTTGGTTCTTCTATCTTGTGGTTGTATAAATTAAATCATTTAAACTGGGAAATGTGGAGCCACTATTAAATTAATGGTAACCAACTTTACTCTTTCTACTTTGTCTATAGCACTTTCACTCTCCCATGACCCTCTACTATTCCCTCCCTCAGCATATAAGAGGAAGGGGACTTCTGTAATCCCAGCACTTTGGGAGGCCGAGGCAGTTGGATCACAAGGTCAGGAGATCGAGACCATCCTGGCTAACACGATGAAACTCCGTCTCTACTAAAAATACAAAAAAATTAGCCAGGCGTGGTGGCACGCACCTGTAGTCCCAGCTACTCCAGAGGCTGAGGCAGGAGAATGGCGTGAACTCGGGAGGCGGAACTTGCAATGAGCTGAGATTGTGCCACTGCACTCCAGCCTGGGTGACAGAGCGAGACTCTGTCTCAAAACAAAAAAAAAGAGGAAGGGGATTTCATCTCGTCTGGAAGATTAGCATGTTTCATGACAAAGGGAGGGGTAGCTCAACTCAGAACTAACTAGGAAAAGATAAGGGGAGACAGGGATTAGTGGTCGGACAGAGGTTAGCATGTTCAAGGAACTGTGAGTATAGGTAAGAAAAAAAGATGGCAGTTGTGGGGGTGGAGAGAACTAGGTGGATGTAGAACATTTGGGAGGTGAAAATGGACAGTGGGGATTAAATGATTATGAGGTTGAAGAGGAGAGAGGTTTTAGGAGACTTCCAGGTTTCTGGGCCGAGCACCTCTGTGAAAGGTGGTTCCTCTTACTGAGGCAGGGAACACTGGAAGAGGATGGGGTTTGGAGGTATTGGTTTGGACATTGTTGAGTCTGAGGAGATCCTGAGGCATCTATTTGAAGATGTTGAGTAGGCATTGGGACTTGGACCAGACTAGACTGGAGATAGTTTTCTGAGTCATGAAACTGTGAATATGGAAGAGATTCCCCACAGAGACAGGGTAGAGTGGAAAGAGAAGGTAGCCTAATAGTGAACCTTGAGCCCTTACAACATAAAGGTCTAATAAAGAATAAAATCCAACAAGCCTGCTGAGTGGTAACCAGAGAGGTCGAAGAAAACTTCCTCTGGAAGCCAGCGGAGGGGAGAATTTGAGAAGGGAGATATGGTTAGCAGTGCAGATTGCGATGGAAAGGTCAAATAAAACGAGAACAGAAAGTGACTGATGTTGTGACATACACAGGGCGTCCTTGATGAGGGTTCCAGGTGATTCCTCCTTGGCCCTTCTCCTTTGAGCTCTGTGCCATCTGTCTTCAATTCTCATACCCTCCCCGGGGATTGATTGCTTTTGTCGCTCGCCCTTGGCATGTTAGATGCTGCAGTGGAATTGTATATATTTTGAATTCATTCAATACCTTTTCACTTTCAGATTTCTAACCGCCAAGCCTGGGCAATCAAATGATACCCTGTATCTACAAAAATAAAAAATTAGCCAGGCGTAGTGGTCTGCACCTGTAGTCCAAGCCACTCAGGAGACTGAGGCAGGAAGATCCCTTGAGCCCAGGAGTTTGAAGTTGCAGTGGACAACTCACACCACTGCGCTGCAGCTTGGGTAATAGAGCGAGACCTTGT